GAGCTGGCTGGCTGACCAGCCCTGCAGCTACCCAGGCCCAGAACCAGGGTTATGTGTTGGCCCACCCCAACTTCTATCTGTGATCTGCTGGAGTATGGGGCGGGGGGGTATGTGGTGGTGGGGTGTCAGTTCTGTGGACCCCGGGCTGCAGAATCTCCAAGGCACAGGGCAGCAATGCGATGCCCAGAAAGTCCTAGTGAGGACCCAGTTGACGGAGTGGCAGAGATCCGGGGCCTGGAATAAGGCCCATGATTCTTTGTGATGAACACCTGCATGTAAAAATGCATGGATAAAGGGGCTTGCCGAGTGACTCTCTGTGTCACACTGCGGCTTCCATGATGAGATTTTCCCCTTTTTCCATCTTTTTTCCCCCCTCTTAAATTTTCTCCCGTTTTATTTATTGGTAGAGGGGATGGGTGGGGTTAGAGGCAGAGCTCTCACCATCTCGTCATCTCTCTGTGGCACCACTAACTGCACGCCGAGCCATCAACACGTGTGTCTTGGGTGGCGGGGACACTTCATATCCAAACCAAAATACCAGGCACCAACATTAATATGGTTCTGATGCAGACCATTCCTCTCCAGGGGGTCCCCGCATACTATCCTTCATGGCCTCCCCACTTTCATTGAACCCTAGCAACCACTGATCTCTCCATCTCTCTGGTTTTATCTCCCCCTCAATGTTTCACGACTGAAACTGCACACATACCTTCAGGCTTGGAGGTTCTTAGCATTCTCTCTGGAGACTCACCCAGGTTGTTGCGGGCATCAGAGTTCATTGCTGAGTAATAGTCTAAGGTACAACTGGGCCAGTTTGCCCACCCACTTGAAGGACATCTACGTTGTACCCAGTTTGGTACCACCATGAATAAGCTTGCTACGACCTTTGCTGACTTGCCACTCTTTTTGACCCTGACCTTTAGAGGCAGGACAAGCAAAGCCTTCCCTTCCATAAAGCATACGTAATATCCAGACATATAATTTAGCACCTCATGGGCTATCGGGAAAGACCCTTTGAGTTCTGGGCCCATCAGCTTTCCAAACCAGCCGACCAATCAAAACAAAGTGCTGTCTCATGAGAAAGGGATCTGGAAAAAACCCACAGGTATTGATTAACAGGAGGAGCAGCATTTTCTAGCAGAAAAAGGAAGGAATCAATGGGCCAGTTTCTGTGCCAAGCCCGAGTATTTTCTAAGTTCCCATGGGAACAGAAAGGCCCCGGTAGATGTTTTGTCACAGGAGAATGGTCCAGGAGTCAACTCCCAGTCCAGTGGAGCCAGAGTGCCACCTAGCACAGACAGTGAGCTCACCCTACCCATCCCTCCCTTCAGAAGGAAAACTTCCCTGTGGTGCTGCCCTGGCACCAAGCCAGTGCCCACATCTTCCCGGGGAGCAACTATGGGTGTTTCCTCAGGGTAGCTGAACTTTACTGTCTGTACTGACGGACAAAAGTGTGGAGAGCAGGCTGTGGAGCTCACACCTTTGTTCCCAGGACCTTTGAATTTTGTCTTAATTTTAGCTATTTAGATGAATGTGACATAGCATTGGGTGTGTGTGTGTGTGTGTGTGTGTGTGTGTGTAGAGAGAGAGAGAGGGGGGCTGGGAATTGAACCCAGGGCCTGTGCTTTTTAGACAAGTATTCCACTACCCAGCCACACCACTAGCCCCTCACATACACACTAACGTGTAACGGATGCTATGAGGGTTGATTTTGATTGCCACCTTGACAGGTTAAGAAACATCTAGGGGCCGGGCGTTGGTGGCGCTCGCCTTTAATCCCAGCACTCGGGAGGCAGAGGCAGGCGGATCTCTGTGAGTTCGAGGCCAGCCTGGTCTACAGAGCTAGTTCCAGGACAGCCTCCAAAACAATACAGAGAAACCCTGTCTCGAAAAACCAAAAAAAAAAAAAAAGAAAAAGAAAAAAAGAAACATCTAGGGGCTCTCTGTTCTCCCGGAAGACTCAATCCCTCAGGCTCATCCCTAGGGCCACAACAGAACACTAGTGCAGCCTGCCCACCCCCCATTCCACCTCCTGCGGATCCCAAAGACCATCCCCCTCTTGACCTCCCTGCCCTCACTCATTGCTGCATCCTTGTCTAGTCAAACTCAGAGAGGCTTCCTCCAGCACGAGATGGGAGTGGGTGGGGACACCCACAGCCAGGCATTGTTCGAGCTTGGGGAATCCCGAGGAAGAGAGGGCAAAACGATTGTAGGAGTGGGGGGGGGATGGGGGACACCAGAAGAACATGGCCACTTTCTCTATAGGGCTGAAAAGATGGCTCAGTGGTTAAACGTTCTGGCTGGGTTTGATTTCCAGCACCCACATGGTGGTTCATGACCATCTATAACGCTAGTCTCAGGGGATCCAGTGCCCTCTTCTGGCCTCTGTGGGCACCAGGCATGTGTGTGTTGCACAGATATACATGCAGGCTAAACACCCATACACCTAAGAATAAATAGTAAAGTGAGAATATTTTTGTTACCCTGCCGTCAGCCTTTCCTCGTGTATGTTAATTTAGTTCCCTGAATTTGTTTTCTAGTTGCCTTGGTCTTTGTAAAAAGACTCTCTGGGTCACGGTGGCTGCTCTCTGTTGAAGTTGTTGGTCTTCGCGGGGCCTCACACTTCCTGCTTCTGTCTAGTCATTTCTTGGTGCACATTAGACTTACAGAGTCTCCGGGTTTTCTTACCCTTAAGTCTTGTCTTCCATTCTAGTTCACAGCTCCCTCTGTCTTTCTCCTTGTGAGCTCCTGCAGCTTTGTTTGTGTTAAAGACTATTCCAGGTCCCCCCCCCCATCCCTCTAACTGGCAGGACTCCATGTCTAGACTTGATCCGATCATGTCAAGTCCTTGCTGTAGGCTTTATTGGAGGGCAGGGACTGATAAGTTCTGGCTTTGAGGCCAGATCTGGCCACAGCCTTTAATATAGAGTCCTTGAGCTAAGAATTGAGTTTAAGGCCGGCCGGTGGGTGGTGGTAGCGCACGTCTTTAGTCCCAGCACTTGGGAGGCAGAGGCAGGTGGATCTCTGTGATTTCGAGGACCAGTCTGGTCTACAAGAGCTAGTCCCAGGACAGCTTCCAAAGTCACAGAGAAACCCTGTCTCAAAAAACAAAAACAAACAAACAAACAAAAAAAGAAAGAAAGAAAAAAGAATTGAGTTTAAGTTGTTAAAGGGCTGCTAAAAACAAAAGGCTGGGTAAAAGACAAAAACTGTGGTGGCCTGTTAAATCAGAAGTCCTTCTGTCACTTTGCAGAGGAAGCCTGTGGTCTGTGACAGGGTCTTTAGTGTCTCAGCTGAATGTCCTGCTGCTTGGCCGTGAATGTTCCCTGTCGTTTCTGACAAGCCCCACGGGATCTCCTTCCTACGAACCAGAATTCCTGGAAAGGAGCTATGTGTGAGAAGACTCATTGACTAATTACAACTACAGTGACGGAGAGAGGCTGTAACATTGCAGGTCTAGAAGCTAATTATTTTATCGGAGTCTACCTTTAGGCCCCTACATTGCCATTCATTGCCCATGCCGGAACTAGCATCCTGTGACTAGTAGATAGAAACCTTTTGGAATCTATGAACTTAGCAGACCACTACCTTCCACAAACTTTAGAGCTAAGTGTCATTTGAGGCCAACAGGAGATATTCCTCCATCTTGCTGTAACTGCCTCTGATATACTCACCAATGTATTTTAAATTGTATTCTGACTTTCTATGTTCTGCTACTATAAAACTTCTCCAAACCGCCTTCATGGGGGAACATGAAGCCTGGGGTAGCCTGCTTGGGGCGCTTCAGAGCAGTCCACAAAACCCTTGTTTCCTAGGCGGTGGTCACTCAAATCTGGATTCAAAACAAACCATCTCTTATTCCATCTGAGGCCAGCGTTGTGCTTTTGCACTTAGCTGGATAGAGGCCAAAACCTCTGGAGCATGTGCAGAGTCTTTGAACCCCCACCTTTGCTCAGCTCTACTCTCTAGGCTATGCCTGACAGCCTCCACCAACTTCAGCTGCCCTACTCGGTTGCCCCCAAGCCCACACCAACACGCACCCAACACTTAAGCAATGCTCAGACATTCTATGTGCACTCTGGATTCTATTTGCGAAAGTGTCCACAGACTCGCTTAACTTGCACACGAAACTTGCATGCAGTTCAAAGTAAGATTTGATTTTGCGGCATTCCCAGTACACAACGGCTTCAAAACAGCACCAGCTACGAATAGCCAGTACTGGCGAAGGTGACGCGCAGGGAAGAGCATAGCCTACATTTCGGGGAGAAAAGGCAAGAGTGCCTGCTGAGTGTTGACTGCAGGTGAAAACAACGTGTGTGGTCGAGACCAGTGAAAACATCCAGAAAGGACAGTGGAAAGCTGGCCTGCAAGAGGGTGCACAGAGGACTCTGAGCTGTGGGGGGTCGGTGGGAGCGCTTTCGATCTTGCATTGCTTTGAGTTAGCACACTTGGCAAATCGGTGTTAACAAGCGAGCAGGGACTCAGCTTGGCACAGCGCAGCTGAGCTTGCCCGGAGGTAAAAACCGATCCAAGGTTTTGATGGATTTTTCTGAGGCATCCTGCAGAGGCCAGAAAGGAGGGAGCTCCCTTGGGGACAGCAGGAATCCCGCAAGGAGTGGCGGTGGAGGCGCACAGGTTGGAGCGAGGATGAGGGTCAGGGAGCAGGTGCGAGGCCGAGGATCACCCAGTTTAGGCAGGTACGACGAGGTCAAGGGTCCAAGGGTCACCGAGCTTGGGCCGGCGAGAAGCGCGGGTCACGGAGCGCAGGCAGGTGCATCACCCGCTGTTCCCCGCAACCCTCGGGAGTGCCCGAGCCTCGAGGCAGAGGCGCTTCCAGGCCCGAAACAGCTACAGCAGCCTCATCTCACCCCGCCCGCCCCGCACGGGGCCTTTTCCGTAGGAGGGCAGGCGGCGGCGGGGCCCGCCCCTTTAAGTCGCGCGCCCCGGAAGTGGTCACGCGGCGGCGCCGGGGCCGGAAGTGGACGCGGCCGGCGGCGGCGGGCGGCCGGCTTAGGAGCTGCCTGGGGCCGGCGGCGCGGAGGCGCGGGCTCAGCTGGCCCCGCGCGGCCTCGGGTGCCCATGGGGGCCGGGGGGCCGGGCCGGTGACGCCGGACGCCCATGGACGCCCCTGAGGAGCCGCAGCCGCCGGTGGTCTACACCATGGAGAACAAGCCCATCGTCACCTGTAAGTGCTGCCGACAGGGTCGGGGGGCGCGGCTGGGCGGGGCAGCTCCCACTTAGGCTGACACCGTCGGTCTCCGACCTTTCCTCGGGTGACTTTGGACCCGCTGTGCAACCGGTGCCGAGCTCTGGGTCCTGCCCGCGGCGGTCCGGACCAGCTCTCTCTGTGCTGTTAGAGCTGCTGGCCCGGGACCGGCCTTCCCCCGCGGGTCGGCTTCTTCTGCGGGCTGAGCTGCGCGCTGACCGGCCGCAGTCCCGTGGGCAGGCCCCGGCCCTCGGCTGAGCGCAGGTGCTCTTCCTCTAGTAACAGACAAGCCGGAGTGGCAGGTGGCCGGCCAAGCCGCTTAAGGACTAAGCTCTGTCAGGCCGGATCTTCCTGTGCCTGTAGGCTCTTTCCTGAGACGTACGGGCTGCTCTGCCTGCGAGTTCGCGCTTGGACAGCCTTCTTCTGCACATGTTCTTTCTCCCAACACACACACACACACACACACACACACACACACACACACACACACACACACACACACGGATTATTTCTCTGCTACAAAAAAGAAAAGTAATTTTTAAAGCATAACTTAAGAATCGAGTAGTTTTGCAAACCACGAACTCTTGGGAAGTGTTGACATGTTAGTTGACGGCTTGCGGCGCTATCTCTCAAAGTACGGGTGCAGGTAGAGTCTCTCAAATGTCACAGGTGTGATATTTGGCTTTTGATAATTCAGTATATGTATGTGACCTTATGAAGTTACCTTTTCTAAACAGGAAGCACTGTTTGCAAAACCTGGTGCTGGGTGCTAGGCCCCGGGATTCCCAGGGTCTACAGCACATCCTGCCCTGTGCTCTGCTTTGAGCCCTTGGATGAATGGGCATCCTCCCAGCCCCCTCCTGTAGCCGCCTAGGCATTTCATATTTAAAGGCTTTCGTTGCTTTGTCTTTAGATGGACTTTCTCAGGGAAGTGGCTGTGTCTCTCCTTAAAGTTGGGAGACTTGCATAGTTCAGCAGTAGCTCCCCCTCCCCCATGCTTGGCAACTGAAAGAAAACCTTACCAGACTTCACCTGCAGGCAGGTGAACAGATGTGGCAGAGCTGGTCTGGAGGCTGCCCCACCCTGCCCAGGTGCTCCCTGGTCCCCTCAGGAAAGTTGCACCCAATAATCATGTTTGGATCCAGTATGTTCCAGGTACTGAGAACTTTCCCCCAAGTACTATGCACAGTAGGAATTCTGGATGAGTATTTAGTACCTGTAGGGACATCTACTTACCTGATTATATTCCCTAGACCCTTAAATTTGAGCATAGACATTTTAACTTTCACAGGCATTTTATCAGTACCCTTCCGAAGATAAAGCTCCAAGCTCTGAGGCATCAGCTGTGACTAAAGGGAAAGGATGAGTTACTCTGGTAGTTAGTGCTTGGACATGTGTGATATTCCCTTTCTTACCGTCCTGTGGGCAGGGCAGCAGCAGGGTGCAGTGTGCCTTCTTGCAGGCCTGTTGGAGTTTGGGGTGTTGGTGGGGAATTCTCATGACTTTGAGGTAGCATCATAAGAAAATGTGCTGATGGTGTCCCAGACTCGGAAAGTACATCTCTTCTCGGAGTTTCAGAAAACAAAGTAATTTCAGAGAAAGGTAAAAGCAGTCTCTTTAAAATAAAATATTTCTTTTTCTTTTTCCCTTCCTCCCTCCCTCCCTCCCTCCCTCCCTCCCTCCCTCCCTCCCTCCCTCCCTCCCTCCCTCCCTCCCTCCCTCCCTCCCTCGGGAAGTCTGACTTGACTGTGCACTTGATGCCATTTTTATGTCCCTGGGGCTGAAGCTTTGGCATGCACTCCTCCCCGTTCCACCTCATTCCTCCTTCATCTTCTTATGTTTTGAAGGAGAAGCTAGTGAAAGCAGGTCAGAAACCCAGCCAAAGGCCAGCCCACTCTTAACAACACTTCAGTACTATGCGTTATAATTCTCTCAGTGTTTGCTCCCCAAACAATGCTTCCTCTTACTTATTTAAAAACTTCTTGCTTCAGATCTCCTCGAACACTTCCCTAGCCGCCAGTCTGCTCATTTTAAGATGAAAGCAGAGCCCGTGTTTGTCATTGTGTGTGTGTATGCTCGTGTATGTGCATGTTTGCTACCGGTGGAGATGAGTCTCAGGAGTCAGTCCACCAGAGCTGCCTACCTTGGCTTATTTTCATATAGGGTCTCTCACTGGGACCTGGGGCTTACCAGTTGGACTAGTGTGTCTAGCTAGTGAGCAATGCTATACTCACCTCCCCATTGCTGCTTTTCACATGGATCCTCCTCATGCTTCTCTGGCAAGCATTTTATGAGCCGAGTTATCTTTCTAGCCTCATTTTTCTTTGGACAGTGAATAGTGCTATACTGTGGACATATAAAGAATGCAGAGTTCTCAAAGGTTTGGAGGAAACAGAAGAGATGAGAGTTTGAAAATATTGCTGAGTTGTTTTAATAACATTTTGAGGCTACAGAGCCATTTTAGTAGGTTTTAACCATAATGGGAAGATTCTTAACGCCCTGCTTTGTGGACTGTGGTGGAGAGAGACCACCTCTGCAGAGGATCTGTCAGTACTTGAAGCCCTTGTGTGGAATGTGCACCGTGCCAGCTGGGCAGCTGGGGAAGCCTGCAGCAGTGGCTTAGGTGGTGAATCACCTAGTCAGAATAATTTGATGCTCACCATAAAAATGGTTAATCATGAAAAATGCTCAGTGATACTAAATCCAGCCCATCCATTTGTTTACGTCTTAAGTTTTAGCTTAGCCCCCACCCCCAGCAGATTTCTTTGTTTCAGAGAAAAAGATGGGCTCCTGACCCAAGATGTGTTAGGAGAGACAAGTTTCTCCTACTGTGTGCTCATTCAGCAGAGACAGTTCATGTCCACTGTCTGTAGCTTTCCTCTGTGAGATAGCACATGGTCACCAGGATATGGTGAAGCATCTACCATCTAAGAAGTAATGGTCCTTTTCAGGTGGTCAGTCACCTTTCACCGGGGACAGATCTTGTGTTATAAATTTTGAAAGAAGAAAGAAGACAGTAGAGCCAGCAACTCTGCAGTACCTGGTGGGTTTGCCCTGTAGGTGAGAGTTTATAGATTTGGATTTCCTACTCAGTCTGAAAGTACAAAAACAAAGTAACTGTGAAGTGTGTTTTCTTAAAACAAATGAACTTATGTGTAGGAGGGAGCAGGTAGTAGCCAGTGACTGAACAGTTGGAAGAGCTTGAGGGGGTTTGTGGCAGGACAGGCAAGAAGAGGAAACCTGTCTTGCCTCCCCATGGTGGGAATGGAACCCCGGCCCTTACAGGAGCCCAGCAAGTGCTCAGCTGTGGAGCTGTGTATCCAGCCCTGTCTTTACTTTTTGAGACTCACTAAGATGCCCAGGCTACACTTATATTTGGAGTTGTCCTGCCCCAGCCTTTAAAGTAACTGAGATTACAGGACTGCTTTAGCAAGTCTGGCTTTGTAGGTGTGCCTGCTGTTTCTGCCCATGCTGGTTAGGAGTACTTGTGTTTTCCAGGCCATTTGGCCATTTTTATTCTTGGGGGATCTCAGCTGTGAAATGGATAGTTAGGAAGTTACTAAGAAGATCTCCCTAAACTTTTTCTGATCTCAGGGCCGTGAATGGCACAGTTTTTCAAGGCACCCAGTTACTGCATTTAGCAAGCAAGCCCTTTGGTTTGTCCTAGCCGTCACAGAAGGGCTGTTGTATTAGGAAAGTTCTTTGTTGGCAGATGGTATCTTCATGTGAGTGACATGATTTAGTGTGAGTGTGAGATTTCATGAGGCATCACAGGCTGGTCGCCAACATCTTTTCTCTTACCTGCTGAGCTCTGTGCCCCACCTGCAAAGTGGGGGCAGGGTTGAGAGACTGCAGACCGAAGGTCTCCCTGGTATCTTTTTTTTCATAGTATGTAAATGTTTTATTTTCATGTCCAGAGTGTGGAATGAAGGGCTGGTGTCCCCTCCTGGCCTGTTCCACAGGTCCTCGATGGGCTGGCAAGGCCATTACGGGTACTTCTTGTCCAGCTTGGTTCCTGGGAGGACTTCATTCAAGTCTTCAATGGTCATCTGATAACGGGGATGATGCCCTTAACCTTCTCCAGCTGCTTCTCATCTTCTGCATCCTGACCTGCATCCAGACGAACGCAGCACAGTTCCTCACATCCCCCTTCCCTCATTGTCCACCAGGGCTGTGCACCTATCCTCAGGCACTGGAATCTTCAGGGCATTATACTTCTTTTCAGAATCATCCACCAAGCCACATTTGCCACATTGGCCTTGTAATAAGCCTGGTCAATCACTGGTGGTTTCTCAGGCAGATTAGCTAACCTGGTGTGGAGGGTCTCATTCCATGACTTTAGGGAGTTTGCAATTGTCTTTTAGTTTCGGGGTGTGATCTCCACAAAAGACACACAATCAATGTCTTTTAGAGCAAGTTTTTGCCCGGCCATCTTGGGATCCTTCACCGACCCCAGTGGAGCACCGTCTCCTCCCTGGCATCTTTCTGTGTCTGTTTACTTCCTGCCTCCTCTAAGTGTTCTTCTGTGTCTCACCTTTTCTTGCCTGTCCTACCCTGGTCACACCCTGTCTATGTCTGCTCACAATACAAGTAGTCACTCTAGTCACAGAACTTGGTCTAAGAGATTATTTGTTCTTAAGTTAACAGATGGATGGCTTTTGACTCTCCGCCCCCTCCCCCTATGACTGATTCAGTCTCAGCAAAAATTATTTTATTGGGTTTGAAATAAGTCTAGGATCTATTCGCCTTTCCTACCTTTATGGTGGTCCCCACATCACAGGCCCTTTTTCTGTCTGTGGGATTCCTGCAGTGGCCTCCATGTATACACCCAACCTTCCAGAGAAGGCATAACACACAACTCTCCAGCTCAGGCCCTTCTCAGAATAACTTTCCAAGGCTGAGGTGTGACTCAATGGTGCATGCTTGCTTAGTATGTGCAAGGCCCTGGGCTCTATCCTAGCACCAGGAAAACCAAAAGA